ACATCCCACAATGCTGTGCTGCCACTGTCGCATGCCAAACAAATACACATGTCAAATCTTTTGCAAGTTTTTCTTGCCCGTCGCCAAGTCTTGCTCATGGTTGGAACTGTTGGGTCTCTGTAAATGTTATAAGGGTTCAGTCTAGACCTGCTCTATTTCAAAAGTGTCCCGAGATAACTTCTGCTATGAATTGGCGCTATAAAAATAAAATTGAATTGAATTGAATTATATGGAAGCTGCCATTTTAAACCACCATGTTTCTACAGTAGCCCAGAACGGATAAACCACAAACTGGCTCTAGATTGGGCCTTGGAATAGGGTTGGGAGATATGTCAAAATTTTCCAACCGGCCACTGCCAATCTAACAACAAGTGATTGCCGATATATTCACACACAAGGCCCCCATCCCCAATTACCACCCCGGTAGTTACAGCTGGGAGCTTTTTCCAACTCTGTTTCTTTCTGTTACACTGTGTTCAGATTCAGAGATAATACAACAGTTGTGTTGATGCTGAAAACCTGTGTAGAATCAATAAAGAATCGGACCGATAAGCAGAATCGACAATGGCACTGGTATTAATAAAATTCTATACATTCCTATCCCTACCAAGACACAAACACACAAAAAACAGGAATAGAGAAAGAGAGAGCTACTTAGGAACATAGATCTTTGAAGAATTTCACTCAGAATTTGTAATGGACCTGTGGCTGTGAATTGATGGAGCTGTATCTCTGACTCAGTATTGGTTGATCTCTCTTGCACCACAACTCATGAAGAATATGCACCATTATTATAAAGCCCTGCTGGTTTTCCACTGACACTTTACAATAATAAGACACAAGGTTTATAATTCACTGTCCCAAAGTGGATTTTCTCAACCACTTAGCTGTAATACTGACAGTGATGATCCTACTTATCTCTGTTTCCCTGTTTCCCAGCAAGGAACCAGCCAACTCTAAAATAAATAGGTTCCCCCACCCACCCTTTACATCTGGAGGCGCCAAGGCTCTCCTGAGTCCCCGACCCAGACACCACGACCCCTGGAGTCAGGCATCGGCGCCGTCGCAGTCCCTGTGGAGGACCAGTCCTGGTAATGTTGTCCCTGCTCATCTGTCACACTGCACACAACCAGTACCAAGAGAGATGGAGCGAGAAGAAGACAGACAGGGACAGAAAGGTGAGAGCCGGGGTTGAACTGATGTATGAGCCACACATTAGCCTTTCAGAACAGTTCTGATCCTAAATCCACTGAGTGCAGCCAAGCATGATGGACTTGTCTGTGCTCTTTTCTCTGTTTGAGTTCCCAGAGCACATAGAAGAACAAAAATAGACAAAATAGATGAACAAGAGCATAAGTACAGAGGGCATGTTAACCAAAGGGTGGCCTCATCTATACCAGGGCTTTTTTAACCACTTTTTCTCTCAGTGGATTACTGTAGACAAACAGCAAATCTCCAGCATAGAATTAAGGTAAAATAAGCCTTCTGTAGTGCTGGGTCAGTGTCACCATTACGTAGTTTACATAGTTTGCTTTAAAATGTCCCACTCAGTACAAATTGTTGTCACAGCTATTTTAATTTAGGGGACAACTCATAAAAAAAGAGACTTCTTTAGACTTCTTTAAAATCTCAAATATCAGTATCATTACGAGCCTCAAAAATCCAGTATTGATCGGGCTACAGAAAAGAATCAATGGAGACCTCTAAATGGAAAATACAAGCTACCTCTGTCACTATGTAGAAAAAAGCTCCAACACTAATGCCCCAGTTAGACTTCCTACAGTCTCTGCAGCAAACATTTTTGGCATTCATGTCGTGCATTTGTAGTTTTTGCTGGAGGAACTGTGACATTTTTCCAGGTTACCTTTATTTAAAAGAACTTGATATTTTGGCCTTCATTGTGGCTGCCACAGTCTCAGTCTGGAGTTGCAGAACACAGTGCAAACCCCTCACAGAGCCTCAGAAAAGCTCCACTCCGGCCAGGCTGCCTAAACTGACCTGCGAAGGAGGAGAGCTGTTGCTTGATTTTTTTAATAGATTGAGGTGTTAAGGCTGTCTGAGGCCTTGTTTATTGGACTGATTCCTCTGACAGTGTCAGGACACATAATAACACAGCTCGCTTCATACAGTGGCCAGAGTCCAATAGATGTTTGAAATGAAAATATTGAAACAAATGTTCCCAAACTATGATGAGGAACTGGTTTTGGAAGCTGTGTGGTCTTTTTGTCTTCTGTTTTACCTCATACAGAATTGTGGCTCTGTTGGGTCTCTGTAAATGTTATAAGGAGTTCGGT